AGAATATTACAAAAGCTCTAGTCTAACAGTTTTACATCCTTAGCCAAAGCAGTTATCCTAGAGTGATAGGTCTGCATTATTGTGAAGATTCAGCTTGGTTCCTTTAGGGCAATGTTGTTGTTGGTTAGTTGAGCTTCAGCATCATCTACTTCCAGATTGACTTTCTTCGCCTCTTCTATTTTTTGATAAAGTTTGCTTGATAAACTCATAAGTTCGGCCTTCAAAGCAGAGAGCTACTCTTCCAGCTTCAAGATCTTTGAAGTAACCACCATAATGCGATCTTCCAAAGCTGAACCTTCTTCTACCAACTGCCGCAGAGAAGTTGAAGTCCCAACCTGCTTTTCTTTATAACACTTGACTCGGTTGAATGACATTTCTACTTGAATGTGTTGGTCCCTTAGAGCCTTCAGGTTCTCGAAGAAGTTGAGGAAGGATTCATACTGAACCTTTGGCATTTGATGAGCCTTGTATAACTTAGTCAGGGCCTTCTCAGCTTCTTGGAGGGCCTTTAGGTTGAAGGAATAAGTGAAGTCCCTTTGCACCAATTCTTAGAAGATCCGGTGCTGAACTTGAAGAATTTGAGGTTCAGAAGGATTCCTTGAGGACTTCAGCTTGGTCTTGATTTGCCCGAACTCTCTGACCAGTTTGGGCAAAGAAGCTATGGCTGGAATAGATGCAAGAGGTGGAGATACCACACAAGCTCTCTCGAAGGTAGTTGCAGAATAGGCAGCTTTAGGTGCAAGTGAGGGAAGAGATTCAGAGGTGGAGGTGACCCTAAAAGATGGAGTTGGCATTGTTGCCTTGGAGGGCTAAGAGGACTCAACCTGCCTTGCTAAAGGAAAATGAGAGTTGCCCAAGCCCTCATCAGAGACATATCAAACCAAAAGAAAACGACAAGTGTTAGCAAGTTGAGCTGTATAAAGAAAAAAATGAAAGTAAAAGACATTTGTATACTTGAAAAGACCCTGGGACTTTAGGGAGAGCCTCCGTGGTTTCAGCTGCCTTAAGGGATGTAGCTAGGCTAGCCCGAGAAGGAGCCTAAGGAGCCCTCGAGCTAGTCACTTTTGAGACCACAAGGATCTCATGGACTATGGGCTTCTCAAAGGTAGTTAGTGGCGAGCGGCTTCATGCATTGAAGAAGACTAACATAAGCAATACACAGGTTATATGTCATTAAAGAAACTTGAAAGAAAGATGTAAGGAAGATCTTGAGGAGAAAAGTATTACTAGAGCATTTTCATCTTCTACATAGTGCAACCACTCCCTAATCCTAGGATTGAATTGGGAAGTGGGAGTTACCACCATCACTGGAGAATGAGTAGAAGAGGTAGAGGCTGAGCTTTACCTGACTTGTGGTGTTGATACCCCAACCTTTGCCTAGGAAGTAATAAGAGGTATGGGTTAGCTTGGAAGCTAGAAAAATCACAAATTTGACCAATATTAAGAGATATACATGTGAAGGCTTGGCCCGACAAGGGGAAATATGCACCACTCGGGCAGAATGAGAAAGCTCGGGTTGGGTGGTCCCTTCACCTCTAGTATCCTATTTCAAGAAAACAAGTAAAGAAAAGGCATGAGTGTCAAAGAAAATGAACTAAAAAATAACTCAATGATTAAGGAACGAAAGCTATATCTTCAACTCCTCAAGGATAGTGTCAAGGATCTCCTTGTCTGCTTGTTGAACATCCATGCCCGACTGCGATCCTTGGGGAGTGGGGGTAGGTTTTTTGGTGGCTGGAGGTCCTAATTACAAGAAGAAAGAGAAAATTTGCTTAAAGCTTAGAAGAATCAAGATTGAGACTAAGACTAAGATACTTACTGGAAGACTTTTGTTTCTTTCTGCCTACTTCAATTGGTTGGGTAGACTAGGACTATGAAGCTCAAAGAATTTGGGACCTGGTCCTCTTCTGAGTTGGAGTTACCCTAGGGCCAGGCAAGGTGAATCGAGGTGTAGGCTTATCCTTTGGCTCGGACTCCGAAGATTACCATTGTTGCCCTTGCCCGACAGGGTGCCCGAGTCTTCACCTCAGGCCTAGCCTCGACTTCTGAATCTCCAAAGAGCTCGGAGATGTCTCCAGTGTCTCTAGCAGATTGGCTAGACCTAGCCTCTTGCATCGCTACCTCAGTCGCGGCTTCTTAGAAGACCAGAGCATCTGCATCTTTTTCTTCTGGCCCAACATCCACTTCCTCAATGTTGCCTTAGGCTGTAAAACCAAAATAAGAATCAGTGATCAATAGACTATGGAGGTATCACGAAGAGAAGTAAAACAGAAGTAGTTAAAGATACCTATGAGAAGAAGCTGGTTCTTCTGGTTAATCATCTTGGGGTAGGATTTGAAGAAGAGTTGCCCGAAAAGCTGGTCGTAGGCCTCTATGAGATCTCCATCATACTTTTTTCGATAACTTGGCCTTTCACCAAGTGGCAAATGGAGGGGTGCATTCGAAACTTAGAGCCACATGCTTGTGGGTGAAGCAGCTCTTTACTTCCAGGTTGCACCGAACTGCCTAAAATGTCACATCAACAGGAGAACGAAAGCTGAAGGAGGTTCCATAGTGTAAGGAATTAAAGTAAGGCACTGGGATCGCTTGCCTAAATCCTAGTTGTCTACCACAAAAGTTAGGGTGGTAGACTTCGAGCCTGCGCTCATACCCAACTCGGTCAATTCTCACTCCCCAAGCCAGGTCCCGTTGCTGGATGCAACTTATAAATTTCTCCTTGTATGTGCTGCTGGTATCTTCCCCAAAAGCATCATGGAAGATCTGGTTCGAGAACCATGGGTACCTCCTGAGCACGAAGACACCCCACTCTAAGTCTACCCGAGTTCGACAGACTTTAAAGAAGTATAGGCAGGCAAGGGTTGAATGGTTGGTGGGAGACGCCTCAGCCAAGATGCGGACTGGAGCCACTTATTCAGGAAACTCTAGGTTAGGCGCTCAGAACTTGGGGAAATACCATTGTAGCCACAATTGGACCATCTAGGTTGGCCCGTTGAGGTTGGTCTTGAAGGGCTCATATCGGGTCATCTCAAACAAAAGGTGGTAAAGGTGTGCGAGAAGGAAAGGCCCCGTGGCCACGTCATCGAAAGAATGAAGAGCCTCTACCAATGGGATCCATTCCAGCTTCACTTATTTGGATTTGTTGGGGAACACATGTTTGTTCAACCAATATATGATGAAATACATATGCTCCTGAGCCCTATCTGCAGTGGAAGAGGGCGGGTTAAAGGTTTTCTTTGCAAATGGGATGAAGCCCGCGAAGGACGTCCCATAGCTCTTGAAGGTGAAAAGAGTATACTCTAGGCGAGTAATGGACTCAAAGGCGCCTGAGCTTTCACCGGTCAGGCGAGAAGGTGAAGACCAGTCGTGGGTGATGTCCACGCACCTACTCGAGGGCCTTAGCCCGAAGACTTGAGCCATGTCAAGGATTGTGGGAGACATGGGATCCATTCTGAAATCGAATGTGTTGGTCCCATTATTCCAAAAAAGAAAACATATGGTCAAAAGCTCGGGCTTGGCAATGATTGTGACCTTGGAGAGCATGATGAGCTCGTAGACTCCATTGGCTATCCATTATTTCTTCCAAATTGGCTCAAGCTCGTCCACCCATTGCGACCATTCCTCATCCTTCATTAATGGGAAGCCCAATTCAATTGATTGGACCATTTGGAAGCTGAAATGCTGGTATCAGCGGAGTAAGGGTTCAAGGTAAACCAGTACGCAGAGGGCATGTTGTTCTCCACAACAATTAGGACTCAGCTAGTCCAGGTCAATCCTAGAGAGTGAACACCTTCTTCCTCAAAGAAAATTGAAGAATTTAAACCATCCCGAGGGTGATGAAGGGTCGTTGAGTCGGCGACTCAAGTTGACGATCCCTTCACCGGACTCTCATGCAGGACGAGTTTTAGGTGCTATAGTTAGTTTTGGGAAGAAAGCAAAGAAAAACTGCAAAGGCAATGGAGTACTGGAAAACTTGGGAATTCTGGAAACTTGGAAAATAAGGATTGCTAAAGATATTTGGCCGAGAGATTTAAATGGAGGTTATATAGTGGGTAGTTAGTTAACGTTGGAAATCGTGGGTTAGTGCAAAAGTTTATTCGAAAAGGGTTGTTTAAATGCCGCAACTCCCGAGTTAAAGCAAGTCGCTAGTGTTTAATCATTATTAATGTCTCTATTAGTAGACTTAACAATGATTAAGGGGGCACAATTTGGGTTAATATTTAACATTGGGCTTAAGTATTAGAGGAAGCCGAAATGCGCTAAAACAAGTTAAATTTGCCCAAAGCTCAGCAATGAAGCCTAAAGCAAACTAAAGCCTTTTTCAGCCAAGGCATAGGCCATGTGCCTATGATTGAAGTGACAAATGACAGAAGCCAACTCACTATCAACCAAAAAGCATTTTCTAGTGGCATTACAAGTAAATAGATGATGACTCACTGCCCTCCGAGAGCCATTGGCAAAAAATGATGCTAAAGCAGTCAGGCTAAATTGCCTATAAAAGCCAAGAAAAGCACAAGAGACAAGGACACTTAACCAATCAAACAAAAGACATACAAACTCTGCTCTCAAGCTAGTTCATGCCCAGAAAGTTGAATCTTGTCCAGATCCAATCTCTTTCGACCATAGTTTACCCATAGAAAGCTACCCTATTGTCAAAGTTTAGAAGCTCTGCTACTTTCCCTTAGTTTTGTAGTATCGATTCCTTCTAGGAAACCAACCTTGTTTATATTTCCTACTTATATTTCTATTCTCTAGTGCCTATAACTTCTACAAACTCAAAGAGAAGTTGTTGCAAGAGGTTTGACCTTACCTAACAAGGTTAAATCTTGCCTGACTTCCACGTGTTTGTACTTACATGTTATAGATATGTCATTTAATGCATATTCTATTGTGTTTTAACTTGCTTTTAACTGCTTTTTGTTTTAAAGTTCTATTTATGAACAAATCGGACTAAGTTAATCAACTTCACTTCCATAAGTGTTTAACTGATAATCAATCAAACGTTTAGAATGGCTCTGGACTCCCTTCGCTTGGACATACAAAGTATAAGTAAAAGTCTTTGGTCACAAGGCAAGAAAAAGAACTTAATGCAGTCTTAACCTATCTGTGACAATCCTTTAATATTGGCCTTGATTATGATTAAACGTTTTCCCTCCGTCGATTTTTTAAAGTGTTTAGCACCACTTGATTGTTTTAATTAAATTATACCACTTACCCACGCATACCAATGGGATGATTTTTAATTCTCTGTCATCAGATCCAGACCAGGTTCTCAAGTCAGGTCGAATCGGTTTAGTCACTAGTCCACTGCTGCAACCTTGTCGAAAATTGAAAATTCGATCAAAATTCTTCCCAAGCTCACTACATCGTCATTGTTGCTCCGATCTTTGATCTAAGGATAATTTTCGATTCCTGGATCCAACTGAACACCATGTGTGTGGTCTCGAAGCTTAATTCCAAGCAGTTGTTCGGAAATGTCTCGCCGACCCTCGATTTCTCACCAAAAAATTGGGCATCTTTCCTAAGCTCCAATCTGCAAAAAATCTCAACCATTTCATACAATCCATACATGAAAATACATCTACACAACACAAGGAATCTGGACATAGTATTTTCACTAAACAAAAACCATAGATGAAATCGTGGTGAGATGAGGAAGGTGATAGTGGGTTCAAAAACTTGTTTGTTGAAGAAATTTATGATGTTGGTGGTGTATGTTTCGACAGAAAACAAGAGTGAACAAGATGAGAGAGAAATGAGAGAAAAGTGAGATAGAGGAATGATAGAGTGGGATATGAGAAGAAGGACTAGGATTTTCTCCCCTGCTCTTTCCATCCCATTACATCACATCCTCTCACATTCTCTATTTTGTCTTTCTCTTTCTATAAAAAAATTAATATAAAATATTAACGTCGCTTAATCGTAACCGTTCAAATATGAGGGGAGGGAAGGGGAGGGAAAAAAATGGGAGAGAATCCTACTCCTGAGAAGAAAGGGGGAACACGAGAGAGAGGTGTGGGGCCCATTGGCACACCTCAAACTCTAAAAATGACAGAAGAAAATATTTCCAGACAATGGCATTTTGTGTTTCGTAAATTCTTCGTTGTAACTCCAAATTCAAGCGCTCACCTGTTCGTATCGACTGGTACTACAAAGATACTAAAAGAAAGGAAAAAATTTATGACCTGAGCGCAAGCGTCCATATAGAATTCCACTTAGCCTAACATGGGCATTTTTGTCATTTTACACCTTTAGGAATTAACAGGTCATAACAACATCAAGTTGACTTTGATCTCCATATTAGTTTATCAATTCTGAACTGATACATGAAATATAATTTTTGACTTATGGATGAAAAAGGATTAATAAGTATTTTCTGCTCAAAAGTGTTTGCTTATTAATTTTTCTTTGATGTTCAAGAAATTGAACTTCTGGTTTATTTTTTATTGATGGATAATTAATCTGCTCAAAAGTGTTTTCTTATTCAGTCTAACTATTAATCAATCTATAATGAAACATGAAATTAACAAGCTCAAAAGTGTAGAAGCTATGTATGAATGCCCCTTGTGTTTTGTGTAGAAAAACTGATATTGAAATTATATGCTTTTGTTGTAATCACAAAACATTCAGTTAAAGTTTTTCTATTTTTATCAACTATTTGATGAACAAACTGATTAAATAATTTGTATGTTTTTCAGTCACATGAATCACTTCCCTGCATTTACTTGTAATGGAGATGTTGAGCTCACAAATTTTATGATTGTAGATCCCATGACTAATGCTTTGCGAGTGGGAGTATTTAAAAGGCATTTTGTTTCATTTTGTAGGCATTTATAAGGTTTTTTACTCTTAATCAGTGGGAGTAATAATTTGCCTACATAATTTTGTCTCTTTTAACCAATGGAAGTAAGAGATTGCCTTTTGGATTAAAATTTTAAAGTGTTAGGGGTAATAGTTTCAGAGGAAATTTGGTTTAAGTTTTGCTCATAAGTTTTAACAAGATATCTTAATTTTGTAAATAGTGTGGTGTATTTTTACTTGTTCTTTTACTCTTATATCAAATATTGAATTGACCAAAAAAATTGATTTTGTTACCAATATTATTGAGCTCTTTTGTGAACTACTTTTGTTTTGAAGGATTAGTGTAATTGAACATTACCCTTGATGCCATAATGTTGTTGGCAACATGTAAGATTATTTTGAGTGTATATGTGGTTATAGAATACTAATATAGTGAAATTGTGTGAACATTTTTATTGATCTGCATTCAAGTTAATAATGACAATCTTACTAGGGTTTGGTTACAGAATTTTGTAGACTCAGTGATCACTATTATTCTGGTGATATTTGGCTAATTTACAAATTTATTGATACTCAAGTGGGAGAATGTAAGAATTATTGTATGTATCAATAACTTGTCAATTACGTCACTTGAACTTTTAGTAACTTATCATTTAAGTGACTTGGTATTCGATTGATTTTGTAACCCCCCCAATATGGCTAGAATAATAGACTCTTAACTTTGATTGACCAATTACGTAATCACTATTTGGTAAGACTTGTTATGGTGAGACATAAAATATATTATTGTGATTACGAGCATCGATCTCTCATTTGTAATAGGTTTGATTGAGAGATATCCTAACAACTATGTAAGGATTGTCCATACTCTCACAATAATAGTTAAATTATTGGAGAGAGTAAAAGACATCCTTATGCTTGCGTTGATTCCTCTTCTATGAACAAGTTAATTGTAATTATTTATTGTACTTCAGTTAATTAAATCTGTAATTCTAATGTCCTGTTATTCTTGTGCTTTTCAGGATATGTTAAAAAGTTTCATAATTTTTTTTTCCTATAATATAATCCCAATCAGCTCCCACCTGCAACAACAATTTGGTCCATACAAAAGACTAGGCTAATATTCAATCAAAAGTATGAAGGATTCCCACCTCTTCAGTATTTTCTGATATCTTTCGAATTTGTACTGGATTGGATGGCCTCAACAATTTGAAACAATTAAGTTCTTATGATAACAAAAACACAATGAGAAAGAACAAAAATTAGGAGTAAAAGCATAGCCAACAGAAAAAAGACCAAAACGATGTGGGTGCTTTTTGGTTTTGTATCAAGCGCTCAGATATAAAATTCCGTGTGATAACAAAGTGGAGCATGCCACCCTATATGTAGGCTGCCTGAGAAAATTATGAAAAAATGGAGGTGATGAGGAAAGTAAGTATATACTATAGAGACAGTGGAGGTAGTCAGACCAAAGCACTATTAAAATAAACCATCGTGAAACACCTGAAGTGGGAAAAAGAGGCAACAATGAGATTCTTCCTTTTAAATTATGAATATATATATATATATATATATATATATATATATATATATGTGTGCCCAGATGCTCTGCAGGCAGGTTCGATCAATGAACAAGAAAAGATAACACCTCACTGCTGATAAACTATTTGGTTCATTGATAGATTAAAGATGTGTGTTTAAGAGTGCTTTTCCATGAATCGATTTTTAATGCTATTGTTAATAGTGCTTTTGCTATTTGTATTCAAGTTAAGAAAAATTGTTTCTTTACATATTTTTTTTCTGTGTACACGTTCTTGTTTATTTTTTATATTTGATCAAATAAAGCAAAAGGAAATCAAATGACAGTTTAAGATATAAGTGTGTAGAAGAATAAATAGAGCGTGCGTAATCATTTACCTTAAGTTGAAGCTCAAGTGCTCCATATACTCAAATGACTAGAAATGATGATTTGCTAAAAACCTATCCTCTGCCTCCTTGAGCTTGGAATTCCTCTTTTTATACAAAATGACTTATATGGAATAAATTTACAACTATCGTGGTGTCTTATTACAATAAAACAATAAGAATATACGGTTATCGTGGTGTCTTATAACAATGAAACAATAATCTAATTTTTTTAAAACATAACACTACATTATTAAATCGACATGGAATGGTAAACCATTTCATGTAAATTGCTAACCTCTTGATTAAGATGGGACGAAAACGGCTAGCATGATACATTGTGGGACACCATCACATGGCTCTACAATACCCTTATAAATTAAAGTGAAAGGTAGAAGGGACACGGCCCACAAATTGTGCGGGACCTCCAGCTTTTAGTAGTACCACAGCTAAGCCAAGCTTGTAGGCTTGTAGCCATTCGTCCAGGTCTATATATTAATGTTGGATTGGAAATTGGATTGGAATATCTTCTGTTTCCCACAGCTTACCTCATATTCGAACTAATTAATATTAAATTATAAGAGTACACAGTGTAGGACAGATTTTTTAATGTAACCAGAATATAAGTCTATACACTATATATCGTAATATGAGTGAAAAAAATATATTTTGTAATGTTCTTTTATTTGTATTATGATATATAGTGTATTGACTTGTGTTAATTGAAGAATCTTTCCACACTATAAGTTGGTAATTTGAATTTGTAATTGAAATAATAATAAATCAAGCATAATATACTCAACTCGGGATTGATGAATGGCCCTAAGTAAAATACATCCTTTGAATATGATGACATGAACAAATTAAATCGGACCATCTGTTTCTACTCGATAATACTCTATAGAATCAAGTAACATTATTGAAATTACCATCCTCCAATGAAATCGATAATGCTCTATAAAATTAAGTAACGTTAATAGAAATTATTATTTGCCCAATGAAGGTAAATGTTATAGTTTACCTAAAAAGACTACTTTTCAACAGCTTGGACACCTCTTGGCTACTTAGTGGCCCAATCTTCAGCAGCCACATCACTCCAAACAACGACATTTTCATGCATTCACCTTCAGCAACCCCTAGCTCGGGCGACACCATCCTCAGTTGCCCTTGTTTGGGCGTCATAATCACCAATTGTCTTGCGAAGAGTGGCCTCGAAAGAAAAGTCAAGCAGATCCTTTGGAGAAACGGAGAAAGTTTCCAAATCTTTACCAACAAACTCACAATCTGACAACTTATTGAAGATGGTCTACATAGCTCAACTTGTAGAAATTGGCCCAACCCTGGGTAAGCGAAGCCTCGAGACTAACCTTCTTGCCCTTCAACTGCTCGTTCTCTTCAAGTAGACCAATACGAACATGTTGCAGCTCATCCACTTCCTTTTTCAAGCCCTCGTTGATCTTCAGCGCACCTTGAAGTTCCAATTTCTTGGGCTCAAACCTCTTGACGATATTCTACAAGTAAATCACCTGATTATATATGGCAATCAGTTCTTCATCCTTTGTGTAACCGGCATACCGTAACTCTGAAACGGCACGCTCAAGACCCTGAATCTGAGGTATGTAGTCATAATTCTCCTTTTCTGCAAAATAATACTTCACTTGGATTGCGTTAAGCCTAACCTTCAAGCCATCAATCTTCTAGCGAACAGTCTCAAGATACAAAGAAATGGGGAAAAGACATTAGACACCTTCAAGATAGCAGCTTCAGACTACAACTTTTTATTTTCTCAGCAACCGAACGAGCTTCAGCTACCATGAGCAACTTTATCTCCCTAGTAGCCTTGGCTTCATCTTTGTCAATGCGCATGGACTCGATTACCAGGAACGTAGTCCTCTGCATCAAAGCAAGAAAAGAACTCCTCTTATAATGGGTCGTACGCTTCACAAGGAACTCGAGTCAACGACCTTCCCAACGTTATCAACAAACTTGGCGCATGTATCTATGTCCTCGAGCAGATCAGGTTTTAGCAGTGCACAAATCTCAATCAACTCTCTAGAAGCAAGCTTGGTGGATTTCTCACAATTGTCCACACGACCAGACTTTTCCTTCTTAATAGGCAAATTAGTCCCTGCAGCAAGAAGAACGGGCCCAGGTGCCACTTTACTAACAGAATCCTCATTTTTGCTCTTCATGACAGCAAGCTTCCCCGGAGCTAGACTGAACTTAGCTTTAGACGGATGTCTCAATTTAGACCCAGATACTGGGGGCACAACAGAACTTCTACACTACGTAATCTTATCAGCAATCATTCTAGCCACATTTAGAGCAGCAAGCTTCACAGGCTCAGATTCAACAACCTATTTCTTCCCCTTGGAAAAAGTTAAATCAAGCACAAGCTTCTCAATAGTGGGCAGACCTTTACAGGCAACAAAAGAAGTCGAAATGCGCACTTTCTTCATATCTGGCAAAGCCTTGGGAGTTTAGCCAAATTCTGAATCTACGCAAACAGAAGAGGACATTCAATGAACAAGTTAAAAACAACTCAACACTAGCATAAAGCAGCCCTAAGATGAGGCAGTTCAATTACCATCGATGAACTCAATCGGAACATGCAACTCGGGCGAGAAGTCGGATTCCCACTCTCCCCTAATTTCCAAGGTGTCTCTGGCCCAATCATGATCCCTTTTGCTCGGGAGATCAAACGGTTTATAACGATACCTCAAGCCTATGTTGGCTCGTCCCACATTATTTTCTCTCAATCCAACAGGTAAGAAGCCTACATGCCCACATTCCAGCAGCCTAAGAGGCCTACGGCCTCTTTTTTTCTCTCACTCGTCGACCTGGCCCACGCTAGGTCCAAAAGCCCAAAAGTCTTAAGCCATGTGGCTCACCCAGCACTGCGCCCTAGTGCCTCAAGCTGCGGCCCCAACCGCGCAACCATCCTTGGCTCCAGCCAAGCTGAGCAGTCCAAATAGTGTCCCCTACCACACCACCTCCTGGGCCCAAGCCGAGCCGACTCTTAGCCCTTGCCAGCCGACGTGCCGCACCACCCTAATGGTTGCCTAACACCACCTATGAAGAAGATAAAGAAAATTAAATTTTTATTACCTTGGTGCGGCACAAAGATGAAGGAAAGCAATGGAAGACAATTCTTTGCACGTGTAAGTGAAGAATAATGCTAGGGGAGAGGAATAAATATCCTCTGGTTTTCACTCTTTCTTGCATAAAAATTGCTCTCCTAATTTATTTAATGCCCTGCTTAAGGCAAACTTAAATAGGTTTTGGTGGAAATTAAAAGCCCTTTCCTAGAAGAATTTAATTCCAAGTTGAAGTGAGAATCTACATCAAATTGGTAAATAACTTCATGCTTACCAAAACAACTTAGGATTTCTACACCTACTGCCCTTTCCTACAAGCCACCCAGCAGGCAAGGTTCTAAAAGACATTAGGTGCTAGCTGGGCAGTAAGCTGGGGAACATGCATATAATGTGTATTCAACAAGTCCCTTACAATTTATTGAAAAAAATAAAATGCAAAATCAAAGTTATCTGTTTTCTGTCTAAGTGAGTCACAACCTAAACGGGTGTCTAAGCAAGTCTGGGTGGGCTAGGCAGGCGCCTCAGCATGTATATATGTTATTTCTTAATTTTCAAACGCCTTAATCGGGACAGTTGCCAATCGCCTAGAGCCTAGGCAGGGCCTAGGAGACACTAGGTGGGGATTTTTAGAACAATGCCAGCAGGTATGGTGGCATTTGTGGACCCAAAAATAATCCTAAAAATTCTGGAGGCAACATGTGGACTCTTGCCCAAGAAAGACAAGATTGCCCTCATTAAATGGACAGACTTCTCAAATACTCACACGTGAAACTCAACATCCCTAGAAGTTCAAGTAGCTGACTAACGACTGCTCAAAGCTCCCTTGCTCGTGGCAAGGAAAAGTCAAAAACATTAAAGATAGGATTTATTACTTACACAATGTTTTGGAATATTCTCACTAAATCCTACCCTAAAGGCTGGCCATATTCCCTATAAATATCCCATTTCTCCATAAAAAATGAGTATGCTTTTCTACACACAAAAAACTCTAAACACTCACTTTTTCAGAGAGACTAACTTAATCAATGGAGATCCATTAGCCAAAATCCCCTTCCGCTCATCATGGGTGCATGAGGCTTTTGGTATTTGATCAAATGTGTTGATTGTTTTGCAAGTACATTTTTGTTAAAATGAAAGACGGCAAAAATTTGCATCGACAATAAATACACTATAATCTTAACGTTTTTTGCTAATGAAAAACGACAAACATACTAAAGATACACTTAACATTATATTGTTGTTACGAGACGTCAAAGTGATCATGTACAAAGTCATTCATCCTAAAATAACTCCAATCGTACACGTGTACACAAATAAGTCTAGTGAAGTCGTACGCACAGTCTCAAAAGTCGGAGCAGAATATCAGCGGAGAGGGCGCCAAACGCCATGTGCACGTCTGGCACTCAAAATCAGAGGGAAGCGATGATTACGCTATTGCCGAAGCCGTACTCCACAAAAAAGATGCAAGAGGCAAAAGTCATTGCTGGAACCCAAATGTATGTGAAAGTTACAAAAAGAAAAAGATTACAAGCAACTGATTGAAGTGAAGCACTCGTACGTGGCACCATCTTCCTACTTTCTATTGATGGTGCTTCTGCATAAAAAGATTTGTGTACATATCTAGTTTTCAAAAATCTCACAATCCAACCTCTTATTTTTGTATATGTATATATTCGTGTATTAAATTCGTATTAAGATATTTGAGTTTGTAATGATTTTCATTCAAATCACCTTTACTTGTTTTCGAGGTGTTAAATATGTTAACAATACGTGACAATGCATAGTCACGGAAAAAAATCTAGTTATACGACAATATTGTCATGAATATTAAGAACTTCATATTCTTACTTAATGAAATGGGTTAGTAATAATCCAACTGAAAAAGTTAGGTTATACTATAAAATCAATTGATAATATAAGAAGTATCTCAAATTACTAATAAACATATGAAGATTTATTTTTTTCTCGATACGAAATTTGTACTCTCAACACGCGGCCTCATGTGTAGCAAATTTTTAAACCTAACATGTGACAACACAAATCGAGTGACGTAGAGC